GTAATGTTTAAGTGTTTTTGAAAAATTGAACATTATGGGCACTCTTTATTTTTTGTATGGGAGTTCATTCCATACGTGGCGACTAAAGGAGGAAAAGAAACACTCGCCGTATGTATTGAGACCTTGTTTTTGAGCTCCAAAAATCAGTTTATCAGTGACTGGTCTACGGGCTCTGAATGGATGATATGATTCCGGGAATTTATTTTAAGATGTATTGGAATATAATTTAGACATCTAAAACAGAAAACCTCAATTTTGTATTGGATTTTTTGTTTTACTGGCAACCAATGGAGTTCTTTCAGAATAAGTGAATAAGTGCTCTGATTTCTTTTCTTTTCTTATCCATTTTGCCGCTTGACTTTGGAGGACTTGTATCTTTGAAAGTTTTCCGGCCTTAAAATAGTATTACAGTAATCCAATTAAAAAAAAAAAAAATCAGTTTTGTTGCTAAGGTCCTGGCTGCAACTATAGTTAAGTAATTGCGAACACAGTCAAGTTTTAAAACATGAAAATAGATACTTTTGCTGAGTTGGCTAATTTGGGAGGACACAGACATATCATTCTAAAGGCCTAAATATTTCCACTCAGCATTCTTTCCATCTTTCATCATTCAGCTTTAATTTTTTACGGGTCATCCAAACTTTTAATTCCCGGATACACTGCTCAGTAGAGCTGACTAAAGTGACATTTGATCTAAGCCAAAAGACTTATTAATCTGTATGTCATCAGCATAAAGATGGTAATTTGTGTCATGTTGTCTTATATATCACAAATGGACTGGGTATACATTGTAAACAAAACAGGTCCAAGAACAGACCCCGAGGAACACCAAATCTGAGCAGAACATTATCTGAACTGTGCTTCCAACCACAACTTCTTGTGTTTGATCTTTAAGATATGAATTAAGCCAATGCAAGACAGTTCCCTTTACACCAAAAGTAGTATTTAGTCTCTCGAGTAAGATGTCATGATCAATAGTGCCACATGCAGCCGAAAGGTCTAAAAGAGTAAGAAGCAACACTTTTCTTTCATTAATTATTATCAAAATGTCAGTACAGATCTTTAGTAACGTTGTCTAGGTACTTTAATATGCCTTGTAGGCTGACTGGTCAATTTCACTGAGATTATATAATAATATATGAGAGTCTATTAAAGCAACCTTTTCCAGAATTTTGGATAAAAATGAAAGATTTGAAACTGGCCTAAAGTTCTTTAAGTCTTTTAAATCAAGTATAGCTCTTTTCAAAAGGGGTCTAGCATATGCTGTTTTAAAACAATTTGGTACTGTGCCTGTGAGGAGAGAATCATTTACAATAATTTTGATAATGTGTCGAAAAAGTTAATCTTAACAATTTTTGAAAGGCTTGAGGGCATAGGGTCCAAGGCGCATGTTTTTTAAAGGTCTGTTTAAAACAATGTTTGATTTCCAGTTCGGTTGCTGGATCATAGTCCCAAAACGAGCTTTGCTTCATTTAGGGGAAAAATGAGCTTCACATGACACTGTTCTCTCTCTCTCTCTCTCTCTCTCTCTCTCTCTCTCTCTCTCTCTCTCTCTCTCTCTCTCTCTCTCTCTCTCGCTTGTCCTTTCTAACTCCCGGTAGTGCACAGGCCATCAACAACATTACTCCAGCGAAGCCTGTCCTGAGCATCCTTTTCTATCTGTTTCCATGATGTCCCCTCTTTTTCAATTTCCGCTTTTACCGCTCGCCTCCATGTCATCTTTGGCCTTCCCTTCTTACGCTTTCCTTGTTGGTTCCACGTTAAAGCCTGCCTGATGATGCTTGTCGGGGGTCTCCTCAGGGTGTGTCCAATCCATTTCCATTTCTTCACCTGAATATCTTCCTTTACTGGCCTTTGGCTTGTTCTCTCCAACAGTTGAGCATTCGTGACTCGATCGTACCACTTGATCTCCACTATCCTTCGTAGGCATCCATTTACGAAGCTCTGCAGTTTCCTTGCTGCTGATGCTGTGAGCCTCCATGTCTCTGAACCATACAGTAGAACAGTCTTCACGTTTGTTTTGAAGATCCTCAGTTTGGTGTTCAATCCCAGTTCCTTAGACATCCATATATTCCTGAGAATGATGAATGCTGCTCTTGCCTTTTGGATTCTGACCTTGATGTCTTCGTCTGTTCCCCCTGCCTTGTTGATGACACGTCCCAGGTAGGTGAAGGATTCAACATCCGTCAATGGTGCCCCTTGCAGTGTGATAGGAACGTCGGCTGCATTCATTCGTAGAACTTTCGTTTTTTCCGTGTGAATATGGAGTCCAACACTACGGGAGAAGGTCCTGAGGCGATCTGTTTTCTGTTGCATCTGAGCCCGACTGTGGGAAAAAAGTGCCAAGTCGTCGGCAAAGTCCAAGTCTTCCAGCTGACTGAAAAGGGTCCACTGTATGCCACCGTGTTGTCCCGATGTGGTCTGTCTCATTATCCAATCCACTGCTAATAAAAAGAGAAAACGCGGCAGCAGGCATCCCTGTCTCACTCCTGTATTCACTTCAAACGAGTCTGTTCGCTGCCCTCCAAGTAAGACACTGCAACTCATTTCCTCATACATCTTCTTGATCAATCTCACGAACTTGTCAGGTATTCCGTAGTGGCGCATGAGCTTCCATATTGAGTCCCTATCTAGGCTGTCAAAAACTTTCTCGTAGTCAACAAAGTTAACGTACAGGGGAGAGTTCCACTCGGTGGACTGCTCCACTATTATCCTCAAAGTTGCAATCTGATCTGTACATGATCTCTTTTTACGAAAGCCTGCCTGCTCCTCTCTTAGTTTTGCATCCACGGCTTTCTTCAGTCTTTCCAGTATGGTACGACTTAAAATCTTCCCCGGAATGGAAATGAGCATGATTCCTCTGTAGTTTTTACACTCATGCAGGTCTCCTTTCTTGGGTAGTTTCACGAGCAATCCTTCTCTCCAATCCTGTGGAAATTCTTCGTTGTCCCATATGTTGCTAATAATTCCATGAAGAATCCCTGCCGCAGTGTCGATATCCGCCTTGAGAACTTCTGGGGGTTCCATCTGGGCCGGCTGCCTTGCCTGCTTTCTGGTGTCTTATCGCCTCCTTGATCTCCTCTAAACTAGGCTTTTCTTCACTTACCCCCAGATCAATCTCTGCTGGTGGAATGTCAAACTGTTTTTCTGGCCTTGGTCTGTTCAGCAGCTCTTTGAAATGCTCCTTCCAGCGTTCTTTCTGTTCGTCTGGCACATCTGCGTTCTTGTATCTGCCTGCAAGTTTCTTGGTGGTTTCATACATGTTTCCTGCCCCTGCTGTTTCCTCTGCCTCGCGCGCTAGGTCATCTACATAGTTTCTTTTGTCTTTCCGTAGGCTGACTTTTACCTCCTTCATTGCTTTCGTGTATTCTTCTTGGGCCTTTGCTTTGGCTGCTCTTGTCTTGCTCCTGTTTACCTGATCCTTTTTCTTTTTCATTTCTTTTATCTTCCTCAAAGTGGTGGCCGATATCCAAGGCTTGTGCTCACGTTTCCGTTTCCCCAGTACCTCTTGATACACCGTGGTCCAGCCTTCTTTTATTGCCTCCCATGTTTCTTCCACGTGGCTATCCTCGCCTAGTGTTTCCAACACTTGGAACCTGTTCTTAACTGCTGCATTAAACTCCTCTCTTGATGATGGCTCTCCCAGAAATTCCACGTTGTACCGGTACCTATGATTATTGACAATTCCCTTTTTTCGCTTTAGTTTCCGTCGGATGGTTGAAATGAGCAAATGATGGTCCGAAGCTACCTCTGCACCCCTGTAAACTCTAACATCCCTCATTGATCTCCTGAATTTCTTTTTGACACATATGTGGTCAATCTGGTTTTCAGTTTGTTGGTCTGGCAACACCCATGTTGATTTGTGTATCCGTTTATGTGGGAAAACAGTCCCTCCTATTATGAGCCCATTCGTTACACATATTTCTGCAAATAGTTCTCCATTCTCGTTTCTGACTCCAAGTCCGTGTTTCCCCATGATTTCTTCAAAGCCTACATTGTCACTGCCTACCTTAGCGTTGAAGTCGCCCATTAAAATCAAGATGTCCTTCCTTCTAACCTGATCAATAGTATTTTGTAGCATTTTGTAGAAAGTCTTTTTCACATCCTGGTCCTTATCATTGGTGGGAGCATATCCCTTGATAACATGAAGGTTGATGTCTTTCTTCTGTGAACGGAATTCAGCTGATATTAGTCGCGGGCCCTCTGCTTTCCAGCCTATCAAAGCCCGCTTGGCGTGTGTTGATAACAGAATACCTACTTCTTCTGTATGCGGCGAGTTTTCCTCCAGATGTCCAGAGTAGAGAACTGTTTCCCATGAAGCAAGTTGGCACCCCCTTGCATTTGTCCATCTCGTCTCACAGAGACCCAATATGTCCAGTTGGTAGCCCTCCATCTCTCTTGCAACCTGCAGTGCCTTCCCTGCCTCGTACATTGTACGAACATTCCAGGTACCAAGTCTGGTGGTTTTTCTGGTCGACAGGAGGTTTCTCGGCTTGGTGGCTTCCTTCCGGCTTTCACCACCCTGCGTCATTCTCTCCTCTCCTCTGTGATGAAGGTCCTCCATCTTCCAGAACTGGCGGTCGTGTTATTTTTGCTGTTGATGTTTTTGTAGCTGCTTTTTGTTTTATGGGAAAGGGCTGCTAACCTTTTGCCCAACCGACCTTAGTCGCCTTCTACGACATGCGCGGTACGGATACATTGGTCCTATTCTTTGCTCCCCTGTCTCTTGGACAGGGCCCCGAGAACCACAAGGGTGATGACCCTGTTCACTCAAAAAAAACCCATGTTTATAAAAACTCTTGATATGCCATAAACAGATATAGTTGTCAGTCTTACGAAAAAAAGTGAAAGTATTGGATTTTTCTAAGGCAGAACCCCTTTCCCATAGTGTCACAGCCCTTTATTCCGTTTTTTTGCTTGCGAGTGAGCCTGATAGGGGAAAGAATAGTTACTGAAAAGCATTTAGTTTTGCTCATTAAGTTGTGGCATGTCCAGGCTGCATTCAGGAACTGAAAGCGATGTCTGTGGTGTAGCGGTCAGGCTCTTCGCAAGGGACCCAAGATCGATTTCCGAATGGGGAGAATTGTTATGGAGTATCACGATTTTTCTGCTCTGACGTTACATCCCTCTCAGCCGGGATTGACGCTGACAGGAGGCTGAAAGGTCTAAATAATTGTATTGATGGCGGCGTAAAACACTTAAATATAAATATTCGTATTACATAAATTAATATTACGTTGTGGACTTTTATCACCTGTAAGACTTCCTGCAAAGAATTTTCAAATTTGTTCGATTCAAATTTCAAAATGTTATGTCAAATATATGGCTAGTTTATGTAAAAGACAATACAAATGAAATAAAACCAGCGCCTGTAATCTTGAGTTTAGAAACTTTACCGTCGCGCGCAGAAGACTTTATGACTTTGACTTCTGTGCGTAGAATTTTTTAAACCGAGTATCCCTTACTCTCTCCTTGGATTTTCTATCGCTCTCTGTTCGGACTGTCCAAGACAGGCAGAGCCAAAACAGCTCGTCTTCTTGTCTCCTAAATAATCTAAAATGTGTCAATAAGAGCGTAGAATTTTTACAGTTACTATTTTTGGTGAAAAAGCAATGTTAATGACAATTCATAAGAAATACATTTCTTAATGTTTACCCGAGGGATGTAATTAAATAATCAGAGAAACTTCATCGATAAAAAGGCACCATTTTTGGATTGCATAAAAGCAACCTACAGTTTTGAGTCTTGACGCTTTTCATTTCACGTGAAAAAGTAGTCTAAAAAGTAAGTAATGTTATGAAAATAGCATTTGGATGCTTTCGTTAGAGTTCCATTAAGCGTTAATAAAAAGAAAAGTTGCGTTTTTTTCTGGAGCACGTGTCGGATTTTAAAACTATTTTTTGTTTTTAACATGAAGCCCAGGTCTTTGTTAAATATAAAAACAATAAATAAACAAATCGCAATAACAAAATATTATGATCATTGTCACTCAAGAAAGACGGTAGGTTCAACTCAACATTAGAAAAATCGAGGCACGAGCTTGCTCAGCGCGTTTGTGCAATTACTAAGACATCCAAAGTCTTTTTTTCTGTTTTTTTCCCTTGACATTGAATAATCTGGAAACAGCTAGAATGTGAGAAACGTTCTGATGTCTCGATTTTTCCAATGTTGAGTTAAATCAACCATCTTTCTTGGGTGAGAATGATCAAATGTTACTATTACTGCTGTTTTAATAATCCAAGACTGCAACTTCATTTAACAAACGGGTGTAAAAAGATGCGCCAATTGGTCAGAACAATTTGTGAGGTTTCTTTTGAAAAATGTTAGTACAGATATACTGTGAACACTAATTAAAGTACCAAATTGTTCTTTTTATGACATGGCCTACTTTTTAGGCTTCTCCCCTAAAGGAAAATCGCAAAGACTCAAAAGACTAGGTTGTTATACCCAATCAAAAGGGGGTGCTTTTTAAAATCTCCAGTATTTTATTTTAATCAATATGTGAACAAAATTCATATCTTGAATACTAAAACAAATCTCCATATTTGTTCTCAGATAGTTAATACTCTAAAACACTTTTATCTTTCTCATAGGAAATACCAAAAGTATCGATGACTGTCCATCGGGGATACCACGGAACAAGTTCTTGCAGTTTCGCAAAGGCCTGTGCTACGAGTTCGCAGTGACAACATATCGTCACTTCTGGCATGCAGAGAGCAACTGTCTGGCGAACGGCGGGCTACTCGTTCAAATCAAGTCAAAAGATATTAACGACTACATTAAAAAAGAGCTTCATGAAACCTACAAGGAGCGATATGACACATGGATTGGTCTTGACGACGCCAATCCTGGGGAGAAATTCACGTGGGCCGACGGCAGCAGTGTGAATTATGAAAACTGGGCACCTAATGAAGGCGAGAGATTTAGTGGCGGGTTGGACGCTTGCGCCACAATCGACCCTGTCAACGGAACCTGGATCGATTATCCCTGCCAAGGATTTCTTTTTGAAGAAGTCAAACCCTACGTGTGCGAGTATGACCCCGATAACCTTTTGACCACCCCAGCTACGAATTAGTATTTTAATATAATTTGGTTAAAAAGAATGCCTCGCAATTAAAGACAATTAACCGTTTACTCAGACCAATTAGACATGCCCGTTAGTAAAACTGATTACGTTAGAAATAAATAATATTCTGACGAGATCAATATTTCCCCCTGTCTCACTTACGATATCTGAATAGGAGGCAATTTCTGCTGTTGAAGACACAAACTTTCTCATCCTGAGATGACTCTATTCATTTGTGGAATCTTCATAACAAGTCCGTATTGATAAAAGTGAAGTCGCCATCAGTAATAATATATTCCTGTCTATTCTGGTTGTTCGTAAACGATTTGATTTCAATATTTATAGAGGTAGACGTCTTACCAATAAATTGTGCATTGGAACATTGTGTCCTGACTTGTCTTTTCTTAAAGTGTACTGGCTTTTTCAAAACAAATTTCTTACACGCACTTACATGTGAGTGTTATATCTGGCTACCATTTGCTACATACACCTAAATGTGAGTCTATATCTGGTTATTCATTAGCACACTTAAATGGGATTGCTATAATATCTGGTTACCATTCGCTACAAACACTTACATGTGAGTGCTATATCTGGTTACTATTTGTTAAATACACTTAAACTGTCACAGCACACAACAGTAGTTTGACATAATTGTTCAAAGTTGTCGCGTGGGCTGAAGTTAGTGTCTCTTTAACAATTCCAGAGCAGCACCGACTGGCATTAAACCCTGGGTCTTATCGCTGAAATTGTCCGTTCTGTGATTCAAACATACAGCTGCACATACACATATCTAAAACCCACATAGTATACAAACATACACAAATACACACATATAGAAAGACCCAAATAAACACACACACACAAACATACACACACACAAACATACATACATACATACATACATACATACATACATACATACATACATACATACATACATACATACATACATACATACATACATACATACATAGC